TATATATATATATATATATATATATATTGTGAAATATTAAAATTGTCTTATTTTTTAACATGTCTTTTTTAGTCATTATTCAAGTAATTTATCAACTAGTTTTTTCAAACGTGATTAATTTATCGGTTAACTTGTCAACCGAATCCTAAATGCATTGATTTCAGTCAATGAACATCTTTTGTTAGTGGTCAACCTACGCTAGTCTTCAATTTTATTTTATTTTCATCTTGCCCAAAAACCAGATAAGACGTTTTATATGATAAGGTTGGTTAGAATTGACTGTAGGTCCAATTCTACAGCTTATATCTTAAACAGATCAACGCTTCCTCGAGGAGATGCAATTTTTCTCACGATCGTTAAAAATCTCTTTCTTAATCCACTTTATATTTAAATTTGGTCATTTTAAATGGTTTATTTTGACCATATAACGTAAAAATCACCTTTATCATCTTACCCGTACATTTTCTAAAAACAATTTAAATTATTTTTTACCAATTCGCCCTCTATAACAGCTGACCTAAAATGTCGTTAGCCAAGATGTTGTCCCTAAAAGGAACTTATTGGGTTAACAGTTAGGGGTCGTTTATCAAATACTTATTCGGTAAGCACTTATCGGTAAATATCAATACTATTATTTACTTACCGGGTAAGATTTTAGTCAACAAAAACGGCTTTCTATGCGATAATTTATCCGGTAAGAGCTGATCGTGATAAGAGTCATTGCCCTCACTTACCGGGTAAGACTATCAGTCACTGCTTTGTTCTTACCGGGTAATATTTTTTGTTCTTACCATATTCATCCGGTAAGGTAATATAATTTGGTAAGCGTTTACCCAAGTAAGATTTGGTAAACGGGCCCCTTACTCAATTTACCATATTCATCCAGTAAGGTAATATAACTTGGTAAGCGTTTACCCAAGTAAGCATTTGGTAGACGGACCCCTTACTCAATTTTGTGTTGGTAAACAACTCTTTACTGTGTCGAAATTTCGGTTTTTTTCTCCAAGAACATCAATCACGGTTCCAATTGAACGAGGTAGTAAAGATGGTTTTGATCGAATCCCCTGCTAAGCGTTTCAAAATACATCAATTATTATGACCTAGTTTTTATCTGTAACAGATTTTGTTCTATGGTACATAAATATGAATTATTATTCTCCATTACGAGCCATGACGTTCATGAGCACCATAAAATTGAGTTCTAAACCATGATTGTTTCAACGTATCGAGGCTTAGGATATAGTATTAGGTCGATTCAACGTATTGAGGCTTAAGATACTGTATTGGATCAATTCATAGTTTTGTGGCTTACGATGCTATATTCTCTCACCAGAAAATAGCTTCAGAGAGTTGTATGATAATTGCAGTGTATGTCATGTTGAATGTTCAAAGAAGTTGATAGAAGAAAATAATACTGATGATATCAACCTCATGGGCTCGCACAACAGTAATCAATGGTCATCTATCAGTTTATGAAATAAGAAATACGTATTCTAATTCCAATTTTCATCCTCGATCTTTATTGTTGGTCACGTCAATCTTCCATAATTGAGAGTTCCTCAGCTACGGATATTTGTGACAGTAAACAAAACCCCCATAGATTTACTCTGTTAAAAATCAAATGTAGCAATCAGATAAGATTTCAAACAAATTTACAGATTTTTATTGTTTATGTCGTCAAAGAAGTTGGTGATTGGACATATATCTAAAAATGAGTTTATCAGAGTTATATTTTATCTTTGACGGGTAAAAATTTTATGTGAAATATGCAAACATGACCTCTATCCAAAGAATAGAACAATATGAAATCAACTGGCTTGTACAAAGTATGCAAAAAGAAGAGAGAAAGTTTGCCAAAAAAAATTGTGGAACTAAAACATAAGTGGGTTGGGTTCCGATGAGAAAAAAAAGTTAAGATAAGAAGCGTAAGAAGGGATCTCCACCCTTGGATGCATATTAGAATGAGATGCCCCAGATCAATTCCCACGAGAAGCCTAATTCATGGGTGGGTAAGAGATTAAAAGTGATCAAGAGTCTAGATCCTTTGTTACGCTTCTCACATTAACTTTCTTTCTCATATGATCTTTCCTCAACATAGGAACTTGAAAATATAATAGTCGGTGCTGAATTTGAAAACGAATAGCAGTAAGCAATGACATTCAAACAAGCGGCCAAATGGATAAAACTTACAAACATAAGCAGGTACAAGAAGACATAATGGTAGGAATAAATATACGCCCTTAGGCCAATCGATTATGACATAACAAGTGTTTTTAACATATTTTAAAACATTTATTACAAACAGGTCATATGAAATCCCGCAAAATACCAACTACCCTGATAAGAATTCTAAATCCTATGTTTGTAGGATTTTATTGAAATCATAGGATTTCAATTCCGGACTTTCCTTCAAACCAAACACCTTATTGGAATGGAATCTAACTCCAAATCCCACTTAATCCCGCAAACCAAATAGAACCTACGGGGACGTTTGGTTCACATAATGTTTTTTGAAAGAATGGAATCTCTCAAAGCAATTTGACCTGGAATGAATTAGAATGGAATTTGGCTGAGCATTTGGTTGGCATGGATTGGAATGGAATTTGTTTAATGATTTAGAATATGTTTGTTTGGTTGGTAGAATGTAGCTTTGGAATTGGAATGAATAAACGATACATGACCAAAATACCCTTTTTATGATTTTTTTGTTACCATTTTGAATTATGGAACTCATATCTGAGACCATTCCATGAACCCATGTAGAACCCGAATCTGAAACTATTTAGAACTGAGATCGAAAATCAAATCATATCACCCCAAAACTCAACCTAAAAGCCAAACCCTAATATCAAAACTCAACCAGATCAACCCAAATCATGTGTATTCGTGACGAAATGGGAACCCAAAACAAAGGAAAAAAGTCGCTCGATGAAGGTGGAACCCAGAACAGAGAAGAGACGTGTCTCTCGATGAAGGTGGAACACAAAACAGAGAAGAGACGTGTCACTCGATGAAAGTGGAACCCAAAACAGAGAAGAGACATGTCGCTCAATGAAGGTGGTGAATCCAAAATTGTGGTCGATGAAGGTGGAACCCAAATCCATTCATGAACCCAAAGTTGATGGTTGATGAAGGTGTAGATCGAAAAACGTAGGAAAAATTGGTTTTCTTGGAAAAATGGGTCTCCGTAAGGATGAAGGAAAATGCAGGTCAAGAAGAGGTGGTCGATGACGGTCGAAGGTGGTAAGTGGCAGTGTTGTATATCAAATTCTTCCTCGTCTCTTTGCTCTTCGATTTGGTGATAAGAGTTTTCCAAAGGGAGCTCATATAGGTTTGGATAAATCAAGCAGAGAAAATGAAGATAATTTTGTTTTTTTGAGAAAATGGAATGAAATGAAATTGAATTCCTTCTCAATCGTGATGGAATAACCAAATCCATGAATGATGGAACGTGTAGAATTCAATTCCATTCCATAGGTAAACCAAACGCCCGACTGGAATTTGGTCAACGAAATTGATCAATCCAATTCTTACAGATTCCGTCAGAATCCTATAAATCATATGCCCCCTGAAAGCCCATTTGGTTTCATGGAATGCTTTTAAAGGATTTGGATTTTGTGAATGATTTGTAGAATTTGGAATGGAACTGAATTCCATTCTTTATAATAATTTATAAAAACAAATTACAAAAAAAAATTATAAAAAATAATTAATTACCTTTTTATTAATTGATTGTTACAAAACAAGTATTTTTCACATATTCTAAAACATTATTACAAACAAATCTTATGAATCTCACGAACTACTGATTAACCACACGGGATTCAATCCGATGTTTGTGGATTTCAATGAAATCTCAGTATTTCATATCCAAACATTACTTCTAAAGAATTGGAATGGAATTCAATTCCAAATTCTATCAAATCCCGCAAACCAAACGGGACCTAAATTCATTTTTAGAATTCTAATTCCAAAGGATTTATAGGACACTTCTTGAATATATTTATAAAAGCATCCTAAAAACCTCTCTAAAGGTTTTATAAAAAAACTAATACAACATTTTACTTTTCATCTCTGCCGTTTTGAAATTACAAGATAGCCATGTGTTTAGCAAAAACGTCCGGATTTGGTCTCCCCCACTAACTGTCGTTGAAAAATCTCGTTAAACAAGTCATTTTTATTGTTTTATTGATTTTTTTTGTCTTTTACCTGATCAAAAATCACAAGGACCAAAATAATAAAATTGATTTTCTTTGAGTAAATGATAAAAAAAATCGATAAAATGACGAAAATGCCTCTCATTTAACAGAAATTTTTAACGACAATCAAAGGAATGGACCAAACCCGAACGTTTTTGCAAACCATGATGACCATCTTGTAATTAGAAAACTACAGAGACACAAAGTGTTATTTTAACAAACCACAAGGAGCAAATTTACACTTCACAATCAACCAAAAACCAAGTCGCTCGAAATCAATCAAAAATCTCTTGAAATCAACCGGAAAACCAAAAAGATGCCTTGAAATCAACCAAAAAACTTAAAAAAATCTCTTGAAACGGTGGAATTCGGCTAAAAACACATTGAACAACTTTGCAGTTCTTTAATCCACGTTAAAAGTGGATCGGCTCGACCAAATCCTAGGTTCGCCACTGGTTGGATTAGTATCGTTTGGTTTATAGATGTCCCGATTCAAACCCTGAATCGCCATCATTGGTGGCTACGTTAGGAGTTATGTTGTCGGCAAACGACATTCATATTCCCCTCTTTCGACTTGCTAGTCTAGATTCAAGTAATCTATATAATATCAAACATTCTAAACCAAACGAACCCAGTCAATCCCCCAAACAGTAGGGTCTGGGGAAGGTATATACGCAAACCTTTCCTTTATCCCAAGGGATAAACAGTCTGTTTCGATGAAGACCCCGAACTGTTTCGAGTTGATCTGTATAAACCAAACGAAACAAATCTCTGGTTCGGGAACGTAAAATGTAGGCATACTTATCCTCTACCCACAACCCGAAAGGGATAGATTGTTAAGTTGTTTCAAATGAAGACCAAAGACGGTTTCGAGTTCTATACGGATTCCGTCTCTTAAATTTGGCTCTACGATGCTTCTTATCTTTAAAAGTTGCCTATCCAGATGCCCCTGAACCCCACCCGACCTCACGAGGTCTATCTATCAAGGGGAAAGACCGATAGCGAATAAAATTCATTACAAAATACGCTTTTTGCATGATAGTAGATATAAGTTCATATATATCAGTACTTTCCTTTCGATCCGAATTGGTCATATGTTTTAACGTTTTATTTTATAAACAACACTAGAAACCCTACACACGAGCATAGTTTTTAAGGGAAATGAAAACAGTTTCTCAATCAGAAGGCATTCGAAGGATACTTACTCCTCCCGTGTTGTTGTTCGGTAATTAGCGGATCGATGACTTTTCTCCATCCATCGTAGTCCATCGTGTCATCATCGTTTACGGGTAACAAAAACCCGTTCACAAAGAAGAAAGGCGTGCCATACACCCCTCTCGAACATCCATACTGCAAAAACAAGAAAGTGTTCCGTGAGTACTACCATTCATGCATAGAGAACAACATACAATCCAAGACGGACAACACAGGTGTGTTTGGTACACAGACAGGACTGGACCATGTACTACGATTCATGCACAAGGTACTACTGCTCGTGAAGCAACGGTTGGTCGAATTACCTTGAACGAAACCCTCGTTTTGGTACCAGTTTTTGAGTCATTGAATCCCGACCTAATTGCGGATTCCAAGGAGTTCCCGACAGCCTGTGATGCGAATCCAATAACTTGTTCGAGAACAGCAGATCGAGACATGTTCAACGTTTTCGCGTTGTAAAAACGTGTCTGTTTATTCGTCATCAATAAGCACATGATTAAAAGGAAAAGAAGTTATCGGTATAATAACCATGACTACATTTTGAGTTGTGATTAACCTGGTGCTTAAAAAACGCGGTCAGCAAACGGTACGTAGCCGAAGCATTTAACTCATTGACGATATGCAAAGCTCGGGAAGTAATGAAAGCATTGTCATGGTATCTGCAAAAAATAACTGGCAAGTAAAATCAAGCTGGTACAGACATCCACTGTTATAAAAAAACTATAATAACAAAGAAACCGGTTCAGTTTCAAGCTTTCGATTCTAAAAATGACCAACGACCAATTCGGGTTTCGAAATCTAGAATGAAATCGAATATATCTGGTTACGGTCTGGTCCCGATCCAATTATTCGGTTTTGTCGGTTCGAACCGGTTTTTATTTTAAGTAGTTAGGTTGAGAGTTGTACCATTTTGTAACAAACTATCTGTGGATGAAAGTGGACACTTGAGAGTGTGGTCCTCCAGAATTACAAGTGTAAGGTCACATCAACCCATTTGGCATGTGGCTATGTGCTATTTAAAGCGTCTGTTAAACAATTGCTGAATGGTTTGGTGCAGAATGATTAAGTGGTCAGAATGATTAAGAGGCTCTCATGATATAGTGCAAAATAAAATATAATTGTTTGGTAACTGTGTATAATGAAATTAAGGCTCTTAATGGTTAAGAGAGATCCGGGATACAAAATCATTCGGAGGGTTTTTAGAACCATTAAGAGACAGACTTTTTTTTGCCAAACAAGATTCACCTCTTAACGATTCAGATGTTGCCTCTTAATGGAACGATTAGAAGGTAAATAAACAACTCCTAAGTCCAAACATGTACTCTGTGCATTAAATTTTGTAATATTGGCTTCAATAGTTGTACCATTGACATAACAACTAATAGTCGTTTGTCATATATTTACCCGGTAAATGGTTACTCCATCGAATAATATTTTCAGTCATCAAAATAAATTGTTGGTAGTAAACGCTTATCGGATAAGATTGTTCTCTCAAATCTTGCTATACCTCGTACTAGGGGTGCTCAAAAACCCGACCAACCCAACGCGAAATAACCCAACCCAAAGAATCCCGATGTCTAATCGAGTTGTAAAATTGTCAAACCCTAGGTATTGGGTTGATATTGGGTTACTATTATTTGAACTCAACCCAACCTAATGAACCCGATATCCTTTTATTTCTTGGATTTAATATGATTGTTGAATTTCTATTAATATATAGATTAGACAATTACACTATCATGTATGTTTTTCATATAAACATATTTTCAATCTATTCACATCTCTATATACCTCATTCATATATATGTTCAATAACGCTGAACATATATACGTAAATTGAGAAAATTAACTGAATGTAATATACATAAGAAATATGGATAAGTGGTATTAAATGGTTGATGATGAAAAAGAAATTATGAGGAAAGAAATAACATATTCAAGGTTAGAATAATATTTTAATATACCAAAGTATCATTCCGATCATCCTGACTAACCCGACAAACTCGTACGGTTTGGGTTGGGTTGCAATTTCGTTTGGGTTGAATTGGGTTAAGATTTTTCTAAACAGCAAGCATTGGGTTAGGTTGTTCAAATGTCTTCAACCCGATCAACCCAACCCATGAGCAACCCTACCTCGTACCGAATAAAAATCCCTTAAAATTAACCAAAAAACTTTAAAAATTCCTTGAGAAGGTAGAATTCGGCTAAAAAAGTATCGTACAACTTTACGGGTCTCTAATCTACCTTAAACGTGCATTCGCTGAACAATTATCCTCGGTCCGAGAGCTGCATGTGCTCTATGCACTAAATGTTGTACCCTACGCATTAAATGTTGCACTAACTACCCAAATCAAAAACCAAGTAACCGAAGTTAAATGCCGGCCATTTTCCAGAGATGAAATCGACAAATTTAGCATACACAATATTGGTTTGAAATAAGTAATCGCCATTGATGAACAAAAAGACCTCGAGTATTGAAAGAGAGAAAGATGTAATACTGACGGTAAAGGGAAGGTGTGAACGATGAGAGAGACGGCGGCGGGGCCGTAGTGATCGACGGCTTTTTTGAGTGGAGCCCACGAATCCCTGCTATCGGGGCAAACCGGATCGTAGAACGCCTCTATCAACACGGTGGCAGTCGACGCCGCCCGTTTCTTATACACGAATCCGTCGTATTTCGACGGAATTATGGACTGTGATGGGACTAAAACCGCCGCAAAGGCTAGAATCAGTAGGAAATTCAACGGAATTGTGGGTTTACTCATGGTTGACTTGATGGGTGTTTGTGAATCGTCAAAGGGCGGTGCGACGGCGGCGATCGGTGGAGGGAGAAATAAGGTGGGGTTTTGAAGCACAAGTGTGTATGGTATGGAATTGCTTTTTTATCTTCTCCACGTGTTATACCACTCGGACAAAAGGTTTGTGTTTATTTTCTACTTTTATTAATCCAGATATCCAATCTGTGAGCAGATTAATTTTAGGATGACCATCTATTTTGCATATAACCCGAAGTCATCGTATTTGAATCTCCATGGCTATAAAGGGATTTTTATTCCTCCTTGGATTTGAACCTGGTACCTCAAGGTACTTTTGATTTTTGGAGTCAAGTTTAACCCAATCAAGATTGTGTTTAGAAAATACTATTATTGATCGGATAGATGTCAGGTCTACATATGTTTATTAGATCCCATTTCATTTGAGATATATAGGTTTAGTTTGGTTTACGTGTTAAATATACCTACAAGAAGTCGTAAAACATTTAGTGAATAAATAACGGATGAAATGTTTGAATTTATGTATCTTTCAATGTATGTTAACAGATGGGTTTTAATAAACCATAATATATATGAAATTTTGATCTGCATATATCCATCCCTAATGGGGCAAGATTCACCGTTTTGGCGGGATAACATACGAGAACGGGGGATGATTTATATACCCACAATCGTGTCAAGGCGGGATAAATTTTGATCTGCAGTCATTTGTGGCACAGGTTATAATGATTTGACTTTTTGAAGTCAAACCAATTAAAGGTTTGTTAATTCAGTTAATATATGTTATGCACAGATTATTATTGTCTCATAAATTGATGGTGTAGATTCGCCAATGTTGATCAGCACATGATTTTCGGCTATCACGATTATTGCTAATTTTCAAGTTTATCACTGCTATTTGCATAAATTCATTTAAAACATGAATTTGATGAACACCACGTGGTCCATGATGATATAACTGGTTGTACTTTCACGAGGGATTTTCAAATCAATAATTGAAGGAGCAATGAGTGGGATATAACTGGTTGTACCTTTGTAATTTTTTATCCATTCCTTGACGAGGGAATATGTTCCTCCAAGAACAAACAGATTAGGGGAATCACGTTCTTTCAAGAACGATTCTTCTTGATTCTTTATGAAAAACGCCCCTCATTTATTCTCGTTCCATTGTAACGGCTCATTTAAAAATCGTTTAAGTGTTGTTTTACAAACAGGGTATTTCAATGACAACAACAAATTTTTGAATCAACTCCTGATTTCACCAAATCTACATCTCGTTCAAGCCTTGATATGTGCAAGTGCAACGCTGTGTTGCATCAATTCCTAAAGTCTCACAAGGTTAGATGCGAGCATGTCTTAAATGTTGGATTTCACAATGTTTAAATCCAATGAGGGATAAAAATCCATTTGTGGCCACGAAGGTTCAAATGTAGTGACTCCGGCCTATCTGCAAAGCAGGTGGTCGTCCTGGGATTAGTCGACTCGTATAGCGGGTTGGATATCCAAGTTAATTAAAAAAAAGGGACGGAAAATAAAATAAAGGAGACAAAGGATTTTTTTTTTTTTTTTTGTATTCTTGAGAAAAAAAATGAAAGAAATAAGAAAAATAATATTTTATGTTATTGAGCAGGAGAGAAAGGAAATGAAATATGTTTTTACAGATATACTTTTATTTATTTTTCAGCTAGTTGTGATTGATGGGTAAATGTGTAATTTTATAAATTTTAATAGTTATTATTATTTCTTTCTTTTTTTCTTTCCTACTCGTTATTCTCACATTCGAGAGGAAAGTTTTAGAAGAAAAATCAGTATTATTTTCCTTCATTTTCCTACTTAAAAAAACTTGATAACACGACATTTTTTTTTCTCTCCCTCTACTTTCCTTCCCTTCCCCACAATTCCCATCGTAAAGAAAAGGCTAAAGAACACAACGAAAGAACTCAAACATAACTGTAAGTAGTGATGGCTAAACCGGCCCAGCCTGGGACTGGTAAGGACCAGTTATAGGACCGCTGACCGGGACCGGTAAGGACTGTTAAGGACCAGTTATAGGACCGCTGACCGGGACCGGTTATGGTTTTGGAGGGTTTCGAGGGACCTGCTCGACCGGGATCGGTTATGGGCCCGACCCGGTTCTTAAAGAAGTACTCGTTTTTTAAATATAGTCGTTATATGACCGTTTTTTGGGTCTTTTTTGTCTTCTAAACCCTATATATTTTCAAATAATTTTATGATGTATTTTTGGAAGACAATGTAATTTTAATTATAATAAAACATATTTTTAAAAGTGTATTTGAGTGACCCAATTACAAATTTTTTGAAAAAAATGTTATAATGTATTTATGTAGATAAAATCTTGAAAAACTTGAAAAAAAACTTAAATTTTTTGAAAAAGAATTTATTTCATAATTTATGAAAACTTAGGGGGTGTTTAGTTCAGTCAGAAAAATGAAAATGAAAATGAAAGGGAATGGAAATGAGAATGAATTTTCATTCCTCCAGCTTAACCTGGAATCGAAATTTGGGCTTATGTGGAAATGAACATATTATTATATTATATAACACCAAACAGTTTCTTTTATTTTCATTCTCATTAATTACTGTCTAATACCTCTGACCAATCACCCCCTTAATTTTTTTTCACACAATCCAGAACTAGGTTGGACCTTCAAATTCCATTAAATTTATAACTGATCTTGGACCATTGTATCATAATCGGTCTTAGTGATGGCCAAATTGGCTCGGGACCAGTTAGGGTTTTTGGTAGTTTCGTGGGATCAGGACCGGTTATGGGACCGGCTATGGACCGGCCCGGTCCGATCTGAAAATTCAAATAATTTTATAAATAAATGTATTTTTAAATAATTTTATAATGTATTTTTATAAGACAATATGATTTTAATTATATTAAAACGCATTTTTAAAGTGTATTTGAGTGACCCAATTGTAAATTTTATAATGTATTAAAAATATATATCATTAAATTTTTTTTTTTAAAAAACTTATTTTTTAATACCGGGACCGGCGGCCCATAACCGGTTATGAAGTATCTTGACCGGTCCTACCATTTTCGACTGGGACCGGTTATGAAAAAGCTTGGGACCGATTAGGCCCGATCCGATCCGATCCGAGATCGATTTTTGGCCATCACTAATCGGTCTCGATTAATCCCGGGCTTGGCCCAATTTAATCATTGATCCATATTTGTATATAAAAGTGGGCCCCGGCCCAGTAGAGAAGAAAAGAAATCAGCCGGCGGTTCAACGGTTTAGATCAGAGTTAAGGGCAAGCCTTGTAGACAGCGGCTACAAATACTCCAAACTCCGTAGCCATACGGTTTTAGGGCTTAAACAAAGAAAACTGAAGCCGGAGAAGAGGGCTCTTCCTTCACTGTCTTATCCTAATCTTCCAACAAAGGTATAGCCTCTGAATCTAACTCCTATCATCTGATTCTTTGTGTTTCTATGTAAGTGATTCGACTCCAATTTACATATATTTTGCGTTATTTTTGTCATTTTTCGACGATTTTGTTGTGATTTTATGTTGTTTTGGCTGTTATAGGAAGGAAGTATTGTTTTTTGGATTGATTGTTTCAACGATACCCAATTAAATTTGAATGTTCTTTAAGACGCATTGTTTAATTTTACATGCATAAAAAGTTGTTGATCATACTAATTCGCTATCGATTATAAGAAATGATGAGCCATTTGACATTTTCCCCAATAATTAACTACTTTGATATTTTTGATTTTTCTTTGAGAAACTCTAGATTTTACAGTGCATGCACACACTTAATTTTGAAAATTTCTTGTTACTTTTCCTTCCCCTCGGAAATAGTGTCTGATTGTGTGCTTCTGTAATCTGTTGTTGGGGATTGGTGAGGAAATCGCATCTTTTTAGACTGTTTCTGTTGTAATGCTGTAGTGATTCTTAATGAGGTTTTGATTTGTGGGTTTGCATTTTGAAGATGGATCGGTACCATAAGGTTGAAAGGCCGAGAGCAGAGCAACCAATTGATGAGAATGAGATCCGAATTACCAGTCAGGGAAGGATGCGAAACTATATCACATATGCCATGAGTTTGATTCAGGTATTCCTTTTATAATTTATTCCTAAATAGTGAAAATGGTTGCCAAACAGATATCTTAAGCTGTTGAAAGTTATGTGGTGATTGTGCATGCATATATATAGGGCTGTTTGAAAAGTTCTTTTTATGGCTAGACTCGATGTCTTATGATGATATATTATGTTATTGGAGAACTGCTATAGTGCTATGCCAATTGATACGTGATTGGTTTGGTTTGTTAATTTTCTTGTCTGTCTTAGTCATGTATGGATTCCGATCCTCCAGCAAAATAGCCCCATGACTTCGGGATAAGGGGTGCCTCCTCACAAAGGGGGTCGCAGCGACCGGGCCCAGGCGACTTTTACCCATTTACAGTTATTGCTTCTGTGAACATAGTAGCTAAATAATCCCAACGCTTTACATAAGGCAAATTACATATTTAGATAATACCGTCTCATTTCATCCTATTTCATCAGATGCGGAATGTGATATGGTTCCGGATTCCATTTCCTAGTGTACCATGGCCAAGATGAACTCCTGCTTCCATCATCTCTTCTAAATACCAAGTGTTCTAAGAATAATGTTGAGGTTTTTTGTGAAGTATGAAGCTATAACAGTTTTGTAGTTTCCTCTTTACATGTCAAACTAACTTTCAATGACGTCCTATTCTGATATGATTGAGTAGTATTTTTATTTTGTTTTATTGAAATTGTAGTACCTAACTATAGAGGGCCCAATTATTTGCTATAAACTAAGCACCACAATCCTTTACTATTCTGAATAAGTATTCATTTTTTATAGATAAAATTATAAAGTTAACATGCAAGCCCATTAAAGAATTTGTTAATATTGTCTCTATCAATGTTCCTTTCAGTCTTTCACTTAATATAGTCTTGCATAACTATATGTAAACTTGTAAGTATTGACATTCTCTTTTGGACAACTTTTTTATGATCTTTCTCTATTGAAAATTGGCAGTTCTTTTTTAAGGTTTTGGTGTCTTATAAGTGTTGGTTTTTCTGTTCTTCACCTTATTGCATGCCCTGATAGGAAAAAGGATCGTCGGAAATTGTGTTTAAAGCAATGGGCAGAGCAATCAACAAGACTGTTACAATTGTGGAGTTGATAAAGGTATTTCATGTTTTGCATCTTAAACGTTCTCGTCTTGTACCATTTATTGGCATGTCCATTGATAAATCCAGAGTTATTGTATTGCAGAGGAGAATTGTTGGTCTTCATCAAATTACAGCCATTGGATCTACAGACATAACTGATACATGGGAACCGCTAGAAGAAGGCTTACTTCCGTAAGATCAGCTTTGTACCCCAATCCAAAAAGAATGATCTTTGATGTTGTATGACAGTTGTTAAAAAATTTGCATACCATTAACATTTGCCTCTTATTTCTATTTATTTACATTTTTTGTCTCTGCAGTCTAGAAACCACAAGGCACGTCTCGATGATCACTATAACGCTCTCCATGAAGGAGCTGAATACATCATCCATTGGGTGAGTCAGTTTATTGTCTGTGCTTTTAATTCTTATTCATTGGACTACGTTGATCGAGTACGTTTCTGATCTATTGGTGATAGCTAGACTTGGTAGCAAAATCAGGATCCTTTGGGTGTTTTTGTTATGTTCATTTTCTGTAGTTTTAGTTGTTTTTTTTTCATTAAAGAATATTGGTTTCCTTGATGTGAAAGAAATATGTATTTATTTCTAGGCATCTTCTAATTATTATCTGCAACATACATGTGTTGCTGAATGATTAATTGTAGTTTTTTGCCTTTGAATGTGATTCTAAACCAAATGAACCCAGTAAATCCTACACGGTGTAGGGTTTATCGAGGGTAAGGTTTTGCAGAAAAGCTTTTGGGAAGAAATTATGGGGAAGTCTCTATCGACTCTGAAAGTTTGTCTAAAAGTAGGAAGAGAAGAAGAGTTTGATACAAATTTAGGAAAGGAATCAAGGCTTGGAAAAGTAGAGCAGACAGTAACGGTAAACAAGAAAAAAATATTGAGGCAGACACATGCATTAAAAGCATAAGTGGAAAATTATGATAAAATCAATGTTATAAAAAAACATTCCTCAGGATTATGATAAATTCAAATATTATACTGCACAGAGTCTTTCCACTTTTTTTTTTCCTGATCTATCCATCTCACATGCTATGAAATGTTCTCAGGTATCAGCCTCCATTGCCAGCTGACCAGGTGAAGGTGGCAACTGAATTTGAGTATGAAGGAGGTATGTCATTCCACTAATTCAGACATTCATGTTTGTTGATCTTCTATAGATTTATCTCGACATTCTTGCTTATGCAGAGGGGTCACCAACTGGAAGAGGCAGGGGTCGTGGTGGAAGGGGAAGGGGAAGGGGAAGGTCCAGAGCCATGCCTGGTACGATCTGATTTTACAAAGTTCATTTCTGATTTAATATTTCATTGTTTGCATTTTTTGTCATGGTTGATACATATTCAGTGATAGTTCTCTGTGGGTTATGAATTTTCTTGTTGCTGTGGGATGGTTTAGTTTTACATCTTGCTGCAAATATTCATCGTTTTTTTAAACGTCTCTAAATTTAGGTGGTTCTCAAAGATGAACTTGGCCGTGGTCTGTGCAACTATTGTTGTATAACAAGATTTGTAATTCAGAATCGAATCTTTGCTTGGTCTAGGTTTTAGCAGTGTACCTTTGATACAACTAGAGATGCGATAAATTGAACCTTTGAGGTTCCTGTTGCCAATTGGGTAGCAAGAAAGGTGTTCCTTTTAAATCAAGTGTTCGAATCTGAATACTGAAACCTAAGTAATTCAGAACAATGTAGACCTAATGAACTTCTCATACCTTTGATGTAATAGGCATAATATTGCTGATCTCTTGAATTATCTTAAATTGGTATGGTTCAAATTGAATGCATGCATTCTCTGTGATTTTATATTCCATTGAGTTGTTAATTCTCCCCAAGAAGATCATCTCTTTTTGATGACTGGTTTGAATTTAATCACAGGAAATGGTTATGGACCAGGAGAGTATGATGATGGGGGGTGGGATGCACCTCGTGATTACACAAGGGGAAGGGGCCGAGGAAGAGGACGCAATTTTCGAGGTCGTGGGAGGGGAGGTTACAATAATGGTTCTTATGTGGATGATCAGTATGATGGAGGATATAATCAAGAAGTACCCATGCAAGGGCGAGGTACTGGTTTCTTAACTCATCAACTTCTAAAAACTGAAGGGATAAAATGTCATATTAATAAATACATGCTTGCATGCTAAACTACTAGGTTGTACCTTCTATGAAGATACTTCTATGTCAATGGTACTATCTAGATGGGAATAGCTAGATTAGATGCTTGCTCCATTATGTTTCCCTCATATATAGAGAGAATGACTTTGCCTAGAGTTTTGAGGTGCTTTTTGTTGCTTGATGGATGCGCTTTCCTCGTCTGATTCTTGAATTTTTCTTATTGCATCTTTTTAAGTTGCTATCAGTGAATGTTCATCAAAAGTTGGACTTTTAGCCATTTATTATATTGATTTTTCAACTATAAAAAATCAGCGAATTGTAGTCTTACTACACAATATACCTTCAGTTACTTCTTATCTAGTCATAAGAATTACATGGCATTGTGATAGACGAAGAGCTTGAGTAAGTGAACTTTAGTTTAGGATGGCCTAAGTGCTGAAAACTGCATATTTTAGAGGCGGCATGAGGGCTATCTTATCATCTTTATCACAAAATTTTAAAGTTCAGTAGCTTTCTCCACATAGATTTACTCAATTTCAAATAATTATAAATGTGGTTTAAACACAGCATAATAATCTCACTTTCAAATTGATAACGACTACGAAAAGATCAATCTGTCAATGGATTAACCTCAGATCCTAGTGTCACACACCCCAATTTCTTGTCATCACCTTGCAACATATTCTTCTTATGCAGAAAAATACTTCTGGCTTTTATCTTGGAAGTGTTCTTGCCTCTATTTTTTTTAATTATTTGACTACACACAATTGCTTATGAGTCTCCACCCCAACCGTGAGGTCTAAACTTGGTTCTTATCTTTGTCTTAGCTGGCGATAATGAGTCTATAGTACTTGTTTTGTATGTTATACATGCTATTTAGTAATTAGTATCCCTTAGCATTTCTAATCAGAGTAAATCAAACAGAACCAAACTATCTCGGTATATGTCACCTGGGTTTGGAGGTAAGATGTACGCAAACTTGACCTCCCTTCTCATTTTTGATAAGAGTGCTTTGGGAATCCTATGGCTATGGGTATGTAGAAAGCTAAGCTACGAATGATATTGAAGATGAGGAAATTATGAGAATTGCTATTTTTCGTACTTGTATCATACTCCCTTCAGCTCAAAATATAAATGTCCATGATGAAAAAGGCACAGAGTATTAGGAAGTGTGTAACTGTTATACTTTCTTAATTAACTAAATGACCATTTTACCCTTAATAATAGAGGGACTTGATAAATTTCGCCATCTCATAATTAAGGATAGAACCGGGAAGTATGCACTTTTGAGAATGGACACTTATTTTGGGACAAACACAAACTAAAATAGAAACGTGAACACTTATTATAATAGTAATTATTGTCTCTCATCTAGATTCATCGAGTGTGATTACTTATTTAACATTTTTATCTTGTGCGTTGTGGGTCCTATCCTGTTATAATGTGGGTCCCATTTACCTGATGTACGGAGAAATGAAGATGGGACCCATCTTTGGCCTTCGTTTTTCATTCTTCATATTTTGATGTGTAGGGCGTGGCCGTGGGAGGGGAAGCCGTGGGAGGGGTCGTGGATTTAGATCAAACGGTCCAATGCAGGCAGCAGTCGCAGGTGGAGGTGTTTAAAAGCATGCAACGGTTTCGGAGTTTTGGAGGACGGGTAATGTGTTCTTGTTATGTCTTGTTTTGTAATTTTGGTAAAAGCTTAGGCCTTATCAGTTTGTTTGTAAGAGTGAGTAGAGAGTAGTAGGGTTGAAAAAGTGTCATGAAATGCCAGCCATTTTAGTGTGAGCTTGAGCTTCTTTTATTGTAATTTCTTTTATTCTTTTTATGTTTGTAGAAATTGTAGCTTTATAAATATTACTTGTTCAATAAGAACTCCCTCCTGATTTCAATGTCATTTTTTCTGCTTTCCCCTTCTTTATATAACCTTGGTATTCATTATTCATCTGAACACCAACGTATCTCGTTCATCTCTGATCTGGGAGTATAATGTATGCAGACTTGATCTTTACAAAACGATTGTTTTCGTGATATGACTAGGTTTCGGGTTTTATAGAAAACGGTCTGCGAGTATATTGTATGCAAGTGATTGTTTTTAAGATATGAGTAGTTTGGGGGGTTTATAGATGATGTTTATGACCGTAAAGGTTTTGACAGCGTGTTGATTCAACCCCTGGGTATAAACAGGTCAAAATGCTTCATGTAGACATGTAGGGGCTGTTTGACAATTGCTGAATGGTTTGGTTCAAAATGATTATGTGGTCAGAATGATTAAAAAGTCTCTCATGATATAGTGCAAATGAAATATAATTATTTGGTAATTATTTACAACGAAATTAGGGCGCTGAATGGTTAAGAGAGACTCAGGATACAAAATCATTAAGAAGGTTTTAGAACCATTAAGAGGCAGACTTTTTTTTCGTCAAACAAGATTCACCTTTTAACGATTCAGAGGTTGCCTCTTAATGGAACAATTAAAAAGTATACAAACAGAGTCATTAACCTTTTACCCCCTAAGTTCAAATTGGAATTTGAAGTTAGGAGTCGTTCTTTGATTTGGAACTCTCAAGTTATTGCAATTTTTTGGTCTTCTGGTTACGAGTGGTGTTGAGGAAAACCAATAGACTGTGAAAACCGGTTGAATCAAACCAAACTGAACCTTATTTTTTATGGTTTGGCGGTGCAATTTGGTTTAAAAATGGTCAAATCGTATGGTTCGGTCCAGTTTGTGGTTTGGAGTTTTGTTATTGCAGTTAAATCAACTGCATTGTATATTTACGCATATATATATATATACATTTTAAAGTTTATAGGGTTGTATAATATTGACAAATGATCGTGTGAGAATAAAAGTTAAGGTGAGAAGCATAACAATAGATTTAGACCCTTGATCACTTTTAATCTCACTGCACTCATGAATTGTGCTTATCACCGGAATTGATGCGGTGCATTTTGGTGTGCCCCATTAGTATTGATCTTCAATTAAGATTGATCCAAGGATGAAGATCCCTATTTACCCTGCTCACCATAACTTCCATTCTCATCGGAACCGAACCCTTACGATAGAACGACATATATTAATTCATACTTTATATTTTTGTTTTATTATGAATATAATATCAATTAAATAAGATGGAATTTAAAGCATAAAATCTCATAAATAATAATACGCTACAAATATTTAATAAAACTAAGGTTAAAGTCCTCAATTAGTTTTAACAATATATTTGCCAGCTTAATGAGATTCATAGCTTATTTAATCAGTTACATATAATTATTTTCATAGTGACTTAATAATATAGAAACTGACTTATCCAATAAGCTTCTAAAAGAAAACTATATGCAGAAAGTTAAGTTTTTTTTTCCAAACAAACCCTTTCCAATTAAAAAGCTTTCATCTATGAAAAAACTCTGCTAAACAAAAATGTTATTAAATATTTAATTACTTATAAAGTGTAATGATATTACATTGCAAAACAATATGTCATTTTCATTGTGGACATTTATTTTAGAACGAAAGAGTAATATTTAAAAAGATTAGATATGCATATAACATATGTTGATTTTTTGTTTGTATCGTTCTCTCGACAATGATATCTGCTTGAAAATTCTGAGGATTTAAATTCGTGTAACATATAAACCAAGATCTCGTTAATTATAAACAGATAATATTACGTAGTGTTTCGTTCAAATTTAGAACGTTGGGAGATTTGAATACATTTGACAAGTTTCTTCAGATAATTAGTGAGTTACACGTTAAGGGGTTGTTTGTTTACCTCTTAATAGTTCTATTAAGAGGCAATCTCTGAATCGTTAAGAGGTGAATTTTGTTTGACAAAAAAAAATATGTCTCTTAATGGTTCTAAAACTTTCTGAATGATTTTGTATCCTGGATCTTCCTTAACAATTAAGAGCCATAATTTCATTGTACACAATTACCAAACAATTATATTTTATTTTTTACTATATCATGAGAGCCTCTTAATCATTCTGACCACTTAATCATTATGAACCAAATCATTCAACAATTGTCAAACAACCCCTAAATCTCTATTGTTTAGACGTTTTAGTATAATTTTTTGATTTTAGGAATGCACGTTGCACAATATTAAGACGTATAAACCACATGGACGAAATGTGTAACTTTTTATTTTTATTTTTACAATTAAATATAAAATGTAATTCAAAAAGACTTATTTTTAGATACATGAACTGAATTTTCCATTTTCATAGCTAACAAAATCTGAAATTTCATAACAAAAACATTGTGAAGGTTACTTTTACAGTGTTTTGTTGTGAAATTTTAATCTAGTCTCTCATGGTCCCAAGTTACTTATATACTCTAAAAGTTAATGTCAGTTAGAGGTAGTGATGACCAAATCGGTCCGGGACTGCCGGAGGACCGAGACCGGACCAACAAAGGATCGCCCCGAGACCGGTAAATACCGGTTATGAGACCGAAAACCGAGACCGGTTGGGGTTTTTGGCAGTTTCGTGAACTGGGCCCAGCACGAAAATTCAAATAATTTTATAAATAAATGTATTTTCAAATAATTTTATAATATACTTTTATAAAACAATGTAATTTTAATTATATTAAAATCCAATTTTAAAATGTATTTGAATGACTCAATTATAAATTTTATAATGTACAAAAAATATATATCACTAAAAAAATTATAAAAAAATCTTATTTTTAATGCGGGGGACCGGCGGCCCATAACTGGTTATGAAAAACCTTGACCGGTCCTATCATTTTTGACCAGGACCGACAAATGACCGGTTCAGGTTTTTGGCAGTTTCGTGGGACCGGCCCGGTCCGGCCCGAAAGTTCAAATAATTCTATAAATAAATGTATTTTCAAATAATTTTATAATGTATTTTTATAAGACAATGTAATTTTAATTATATTAAAACGCATTTTTAAAGTTTATTTAAGTGGCCCAATTGTAAATTTTATAATGTATTAAAAATATACATCATTAAAAAAATTAAAGAAAATCTTATTTTTAATGTCGGGACCGACGGCCTATAACCGGTTATGAAAAACCTTGACCGGTCATAATATTTTCGACCGGGACCAAGACCGATTAGAACCGAGTCGGGACCGGTTTTTGACCATCGTTGGTTAGGGGAGGTAGGGGACAAATCAAACCACATGAACCAAAGTTGTATTTTACTCGACAGAAAATAGGGGATGAAATTGAAACCCAATCCGCAGGAAATGGATGAAGCCCATTTGAGTGAACAAATTCTCGATTGTTTCTGCTTTTTTTATCTTCGTTTTGGAATTTAGAAGCCACACAACTTCTATCTACTTCCAAATTCCAAGATGCCGACGTTGAAGCTCTTCACCAACATTCCGGTAGACTCAGTGATAGCCTCCGACATTCTGAAAGATGCCACTAAAGCTGTTGCAAAGATCATCGGCAAGCCTGAGTCTGTTAAGTTTCCTTATCAACCATGCACTTTCTAATGCTTTTACTATAACGCTCTTCAACTGTTTGATGAAATGTCTCTGTGAGTAGTTTCAACTTTTGAGGTTCTTTTCTTATATATGGGTTACTTTTTATTTGATTTTAATAGGTTAAATTGTTTGTAATGCTTTCGTTTCTTTTCGGGTTTCCCAATTTTTGGTGGTTGTCACCTTTAAATATGATGTTGCTATATGTGTGCCTCCTTGTTCATCTTCCTAGTTAAGTTTTGTATACTAAACCCTTCTCTAAACCCCCACACATGATGGGAGTTTGAGGCTAATTGTATTTGTATGTATGTATGTATTCAGTATTCGATTTGGTATGTATATATATATATATATATATATATATATATAGTTCAATTGTAGAGAACTTCTTTATCCTTTGTCCATGTGATATACTTGTTATCTTGAGATGACATTGGTGTTCAAATGGGCAGTATGTTATGATTTTGGTGAATGGAGGTGTGCCGATAGCATTCGCTGGCACGGAAGAGCCAGCTGCGTACGGAGAAGTGATTTCAATTGGAGGACTTAACCCGACCGTCAATGGGAAGTTGAGTTCAACCATTGCAGAAATTCTTCAAACAAAGCTTTCTATCGATAGTTCACGATTCTATATCAAATTTTACGATGTTGAGGTATGTACATTACAACTTTCATCTCTATATTTTCCTTGCAAAAATAAAACCCGTGTTTTTGATGGGGTTGCAACTTCATTTCCTTATCTTCCAGCGCTCGTTTTTCGGATTTAATGGATCGACATTCTAAGTACCACAAGGAGCATGCATGTTATGGTACTCATCTTTGGCCAAACATGATCTCTTCTGTTTTTGTATGTTGTATCATAGTGTTGTTCTTGTTTACATTACTCTTTCTAGTAGCACCTTTAATTTCAGGTTTTTAATTGAATTCTAAGATGGAGTTTAAGTTGGTTTTTAGATGGTTAAATTGATAAGTTAAAAGAATTTTTTTTTATTAACCTGGATATCCAACCCGCTATGCGAGCCGACTAATCTCAGGGCGACCACTTGCTTTGCAGATAGCCCGGAGTCACCGCATTTGAACCTCCGTGGCCACAAGGGGATTTTTATTCCTCCTTAGATTTGAACCTGGACCTAGGTCCAGGTACTTTTGACCTTTGGAGCCAAGCTCAAACCAATCAGTCACCACCTTTGTGGTTAATTAGTTTTCATGTTTATACGAGTCATTTTGGTTGAATCTAATTTGATATGCATAGAAATTCTCTGATGAATCCATATTGGGTGAAGAGAATAGCCAACGGTTCGGCGGTTCATGATGGATCGTTTGGAGTCATATCCTGGGAAATCGACGCACCGATAGGGGGCGGTTTTCAGGAAACTGTTGTTGATGCAGGCCTTGATTTAGTACTCGGGTTTGTTTCTGATTTGGTTATTTTTATGAACTTATTTTGCTAGAAATAAAACAAAAACCTACAGTTAATAGTGAAAGAGAAGTGGAGTTATGTTCTGTGTGTTTACCAAACACTTACCTGTGTAAGTGCGTACCAATATGGCAAGGACCAAGAATCTTACCCGGTAAGTAAGGACGACAACTCTTACCACGATCAGCACTTACCGGTAAATTGTTGCATACAATGCCGTTTTGGTGGACTAAAGTTTTACCTGACAAGTAAGTGATAGTGGTGAATTTTAACAATAAGCACTTACCTGATAAGTGTTTAATAAACGGCACCTTACACTTGTGCCTCCGTCACCAACCCAAATTTGCATCACACTCCTAAATTTTCTTATAAAGCTGTTTTCATCCTTATTTGGTACATAGACAGAATTGGACCGGACAATACATGATGGAGGCGAATAGGGATGAGACTTAAGTACCGTTTTCCTGAACCGAACCGGGACTGGTACCGAGGTCATGTTATCGGTTCGGTTATCGATTCCAAGAATACAACGGAATCGGGAATCGGTTATTCGGTTTTAGTACCAACACTTTTCCCGAAAAACCCCGGAACCGAACCGGAATTTTAATGTACCTTGACTATTTCTATTCATCTCAATCTTCTCCTAAACTATCATTTCTCCTAAACTAATCCATATCTTCTCCTAAAAACCTTCTCCATAACTATTTCCTTGATTAAAAAGCCGGCCCCCAATCACCATCACTCAAAAAGTCGGCTCCTATTCTCTTTGATCATACGGTTTCGAGCACCTTAAAATTTTGGCCATTTCACCATCAACAAAATGGGCAACTCCAATGGATGAAACTCAAACTCAAGTAAGTTTTTATTTTCGGTCCTAAGTGGTCCTAGCCCCGAATTTCCCAAACCGAACCGGTACTGAATTTGTACGTACGGTTCGGTCTTCGGTCCTTGTTTTCAGTCCCATTAAATTTTGGTACCGATCTCATCCCTGGAGGTGAAAGTGAGGTAGGTTTGGTAAAAAGATTGTGTACGGTTTTAGGGTTTTAATTTGACATGATCAGTTTAGTAATTTATCAATCAGTACTGAGCGTTGTCAATCAAAATGTGACGGACAACAAGTTTTTGTTCTATTCAATCATTGTACCAAATCATGACCCAAGAAGCAAAACATCACAAATGGTTGCTAGCAACGAAAACCTCAAAGGTTCAATTTATACAACAATAGTTACACAAAACAATGGCCAAGTTCATCTTTAAGAACTGCTCTGTGCAATATAATATTGAATTTATCATAGATGAATCATCGTGTGAGAATGAGAGTTAATGTGAGAAGTGTAAGAAGGAATATGGACCATTGATCTCAAACACATCCATGAATCATGCTTGATATGAGGATTGATCCGGTGCATCTCGACGCATCTCATCTCGGTGTATAATAGTTGGTGGTGTTTGCTTGTATCGTTCTCTTGATAGTGACATCTATAAAATTCTTTGACGATTTAAGTTCTTGGAACATAAAAACCAAGACCTCATGAATTATAATTGTTTCGTTTAAATTTTGTTAGAATTTCAGCAAAAGTAATAAAATGACGAAAATGCCCTTTAGTTAACTTAACAGAGTCCAAAGCAAGAACCCAAAGCGTTAAAATATGTAAACCACATGGTTCTTTTTCTATAGTTATTTTATTTTAGGAAAGCACGATGTTAAAACGTGTAAACTACATGTTCAGACGGCGATAAGTTTCAAATACAGACACACAAAAAAGTTGAGAATCAAATTCAGGTTGAATTTGGCTCGAGGATCAGATGAAAGTGATCGGGCCTTCAAGACCGATTATATGCTCGGTTTAGGCCTTCAGGCCTTATTCAAATGAAAATTTTAGACCTAGGCCTAGATAAGGCGATACAAAAAAAGGGGTTTGTTATGGAATTAATATGGGCCCTGCCTATGAATTGTTGTTTTCATGAAAACAACAGACTTTGCTATCGTGCTATTGTTGGCTTCTTTCTCTCTAAGACTAAGGGGTTGTTTGTTTACCTCTTAATAATTCTATTAAAAGGCAACATTTGAATCGTTAAGAGGTGAATCTTGTTTGGCAAAAAAAATCCGTCTCTTAACGGTTCTAAAACCCTCTGAATGATTTTGTATCTTAAACCTCCCTTAACCATTAAGAGCCTTAATTTCATTATACACAATTACCAAACAATTATATTTTATTTTGCACTATATCATGAGTGCTTCTTAATCATTCTGACCACTTAATCATTCTGCACCAAACTATTCAGCAATTGTCAAACAGCCCCTAAGACCAAGGGTTCTTTGGCCGGTAAGAAGCCCTAAATTTTCGAATCAGGAGATACCTTGAGAACAATGAAAACAGAATCCTATCTACAAGTCTCGATCTATACAAAAGGCATACAAAGCTTCGTTCCTCGGCAAAGTGTTCGTTTCTTTTTCGTCGTGTTTCAGTACTGACCGTAAGACCATTTATGAGTAAGGGGAATCAAAAGGCGGGGAAAGTTTATTTGGCAACAGTGGTCTAGTCCAAGATCGATAAGACTATCTAACCTAAACCAATCCTAGTTTATAGAACAATTAATGGACAATTAATGATTGGAGTTTCTTAGAGGTTGTTTATTTACCTCTTAATAGTTCCATTAAGAGGCAGTCTCTGAATCGTTAAAAGGTGAATCTGGCAGAAAAAAAAAATCTGCCTCTCAATTGTTCCAAAACCCTCGGAATGATTTTGTATCCTAGATCTCCTTTAACCCTTCAGCGCCCTAATTTCATTGTAAACAATTACATTTCATTTTATACTATATCATGAAAGCCTCTTAATCTTCTGACTTAATCATTTTGCACCAAATCATTCAGCAACTGTCAAACAACCCTAAGTCAATGTCCAATTAAGACTGGTTCTTACAATAAAAAAATTTATATGATTTTATAAATAAAATATGTAATTATTTTATTTTTATCTTTTAAAATGTAAAAAATCTAAAGAAAATGCAAATGAAGGAGGTCAGCGGAGGCTGAAAAGAGCATACGGCAGCCATGGCAAGGCAAGCTCTACGAGTGTTCGATAATCATCACATTCTCAACTCCCTTGATACAACTACTACTTCTCTTTCACAAACGCGTCAAGCTCACGCCCAAATCCTCCGATCAGGCCTTTTTATCGATACCCATTTCACCACAAAGCTTCTTTCTCTCTACGCCAATCACCTCCGCTTCTCAGAAGCCAACCTCCTCATTAACTCCATTGAAAACCCAGATGTCTTCTCTTTCTCCACCCTCATTCACGCTTACCCAAAGCTCGGTCGTTTTGGTGATGCCATTGTTTTATTTTCTCGTATGATATCTCATGGGTTACTGCCTGATACCCGTGTCGTTCCTTCTGTTATTAAAGCTTGTAGTGGGCTATCGGATTTGCGAGCTGGGAAACAGGTTCATGGGTTTTGTGTAGCTTCTGGGCTTTGTCAAGATTCGTTTGTTCAGTCTTCTTTGATTCATATGTACGTAAAATGTAGTCAGCTGAGATATGCACACAAAATGTTTGATTTAATGATTCAACCAGATGTTGTCTCGTGTAGCGCTTTGGTTTCGGGTTATGCTCGACAAGGGTATGTGAGTGAAGCCAAAATGGTGTTTGGTAGAATGGGAGAGTTGGGAATTGAGCCTAATTTGGTATCTTGGAATGGCATGGTGGCAGGATTTAACCAAAGTGGACATCATTTGGAGGCTGTGATGATGTTTCAGAAAATGTACTTTTTTGGTTTTAAGCCTGATGGAACAACTATATCGAGTGTTCTTCCTGCTGTTGGGGACTTGGAAGATCTTTTGGTTGGTGTTCAGATACATGGGTGTGCAATTAAACAGGGTCTTGGATCAGATAAGTGCATTGTTAGTGCCCTGATAGATATGTACGGGAAATTTGCATGCACTATGGAGATGTCACAGGTGTTTGATGAAATGCCTCATACTGATTTAGGTGCTTATAATGCTTTGGTTTCAGGGTTTGCTAGAAATGGTTTAACTGATGAGGCACTTGAAGCATTTAAGCAGTTAAAAGATCAAGGATTGGAATTGAATGTTGTTTCTTGGACGTCAATCATAGCTTGCTGTTCACAACATGGAAAAGATGTTGAAGCTCTTGAGCTTTTCAGAGAGATGCAAGATTCTGGAGTGAAACCGAATGCTGTAACGATCCCTTGCTTACTTCCAGCATGTGGAAACATTGCAGCATTGATGCACGGGAAGGCAGCACACGGATTCTCAATTAGAAAAGGGATTATGGATGATGTTTATGTGGGAAGTGCTTTAATTGACATGTATGCCAATTGTGGAAGGATACGATCCGCTCGGCTTTGTTTTGATAGGATGCCAGTTCGTAATATAGTTTGTTGGAACACAATCATGGGAGGCTATGCAATGCATGGAAACGTAAATGAAGTTATTGAAATATTCCAGTTGATGCAGAAAAGTGAGCAAAAACCAGACCTTATAACTTTCACTTCTCTGTTGTCTGCATGTAGCCATAGCGGTTTAACAGAAGAAGGTCAACGGTATTTCGATAGCATGACAAAAGAACATGGAATTAAACCGAGGGTGGAGCATTATGCGTGTTTGGTCACCCTTCTTGGGCGTGCGGGTAAGCTCAAAGAAGCTTATTCTACCATCAAGCAAATGCCTTTTGAGCCCGATGCTTGTGTTTGGGGGGCTTTACTTAGTTCTTGTAGAGTTCACCATAATCTGACCTTGGCTGAAGTGGCTGCCCACAAATTATTTGAATTAGAACCAAATAATCCCGGGAATTATGTTCTATTATCTAACATTTATGCATCTAAAGGATTATGGAAAGAGGTAGATAGAGTGAGGGATTTGATGAAGTCCATGGGAATGAGGAAGAATCCTGGATGTAGTTGGATTGAGATCAAGAACAAGGTGCATATGCTTTTAGCTACGGATAGATCTCATCCTCAAATGGCCCAAATATTAGAAAAGATGGAAACTTTAAGCATGGCAATGAAGAAATTAGGGTATTTGCCGGTTACTTCATATGTACTACAAGATGTCGAAGATCAGGAAAAGGAGCATATTCTTTGTGGGCATAGCGAAAAATTGGCCGTGGTACTTGGTCTTCTGAATACTTCCCCAGGGTCAACGCTTCAAGTGATCAAAAACCTCAGAATTTGTGGGGATTGTCATACCGTTATAAAATTTATATCGAGCTTTGAACACAGAGAAATATATGTTAGAGACACAAATCGTTTTCATCACTTCAAAGATGGACTGTGTTCATGTGGGGATTATTGGTGACTGATATATGCAGGTTTCATGAGAAAGTGAGTTCAAAATGAGTGGAAACTTACGTTGTGAAAGAGAGAAGATTTGTTGTAATTGTAGCGTAAGTGAAGGTTGCAGTTGCGTTGATGATCATGGCACTCCAAGAAACACACATCCAAACAGTAACAGCCATGGTTAGTAAAATCTTATACATATGTTGTACATTTCAAAGTTTATGATCTAGAGAAAGATATTGGCATCAAGTTATGTGCTTTATATTTGACATTCTTGAGTGAATCTTAAATTTTATTTGAGCATAAGAACTAAAGTGGCAGCTTGATGATGCTAATAATTTGTTAAGCAGCAGATTCTGAAGCCGGATGATATTGCTTACATGCAGTAGGGAGTGGCCGATAAATACTTTCCAGGTGTTCATCTAACTTCATTTCTTTTGAGAAATCATTTTGATCATGCTTTAGATGCTAGGATAGTTGGATTGATGTGCTCTTTTAATTTGAAATGAATGACTGAAACTTCAGGTCTCTATTGTATAGTTGTTTTCAATGGTTCCTGTTATTCATAATGAATAGTCTATTGGTTGTCTATAAGTTTCCAGTAAAAGAACCTAGAGATCCACATCTGCAAAAGTTCCCATTTTCGTAGTTGGTATCACCATTCTTTAAGGTGAGACGGAACAATAGATCATCATTATATAACAAATTATAAAAGCCTTTTCTGTGGATTCCTGAGACTTGTCGATGACATGAACAGAAGATTTCATTCTCACCACCTCATTTACTAGTGTACCCCCCAAGGGAATACACACACTAAGGTAGCGCCAAACGTGGGACAGTGGGTTTTGTCCCATGGTGTGGTGTCCCACCTTGTCCCAAGTTCTTGTCCCTGTCCCATGTCGCGCCAAACGTGGGACAGTGAGTTCTTGTTCTGTCCCATGTTGCGCCAAACATGGGACAGTGGGTTTTGTCCCGTCCTATCCTGTCCTGTCCCATGTACCAAACGCAGCCTAAGAGAACTTGGAATAGAGTTCTTGTCACTCACTCACTCTATGAATTCATATATAGCGAAACTAAATATAGAATCACGAGTTGTGGAGATGGAGATGTTAATACAGAACTGCAATGCTCTTTCTTATGAACATCATTGTTGATGGCGATTCTCGTCCTCACTTTTATGAGCTTCTAGTGATGCTCCAAAACTTGCAAGCAATGCAAGAGGGGTTGGCCCCCATTGAACCACCACAAATGTGAAAGTGAGAAGAGACCATGTGAGAAGTTGTTTAGATTTTGTGGAAGGGTAAGCTCTTTATTAGTTAGGCTAAAGGGTAGATTGGTATTTCGTATCGTTTCTGCCTGATTGGTCGTTAGATAGCGCTGTAGTTGGAGTTTGTTTATTTGCCTTGTAGTGTTACTATAAATATGATTGTAATCCTCTTGATGATGCAAGAAAATTGACTCTAATTCTCTCAATGTTTTGTTCATTATACTTTTCCCTTCGGCTCTCGTATTTATAGTTTTAGCTTTATTTACTTCGGACTTTGACGGCATTACCTGGGTATCTCTTTTTTCCGAATAAATGATTCATCGAAATAATGAGTCACTGTTGATATCGACATATCTGATAAATGCTAGGGACTTCATCTATGCTATCCTTTTCCTTCTTGTTGCTGCATATATGTTTGTACACGTCTTCTATTTGTTTTCCGGGCCTTTACTGAGTTAAAGACATAGTTCAAGAAGGTCAAATCTTTGACGAATTTGTTAGGCAAAACGTGACATAATAAAACAAAAACTTGTCTCATGACATTAGACTCGACATGACAAGATTGAGTAGAACAAAAATACATTTTTTTTCTCCCACCAAAGTGGGTGAAACAAAATTCAGGAAGATGAGATAAGACTGGTAAATTACTAAACTATCCTCGACAAATTACAACCCTAACACGTTTTACAATTCTTTCACCCCCTATCTTATTGTTGCTCGTTTAGTTTAGTCCAGTCTGTGCACCCAACTATCATCCACCCAAGTCTTTAAATCTAATAATTGTTTATTTGAAATTTAGTACTAACAATGCATATGTTTTTCTTTCTTTTTTTGTAGTGACGATGAATCATGTGAAAATAGGAGTTAAGATGAGTAATATAAGAAGTGATTTTGGACCCTTGATCACTTTTAATTAAACGTTGATCTAATGGTTCAAATGAAGTCTCAAAATAACCCATGAATTAGTTTAGAGGGGTATTTCTTTGTTCCATTATCAAGACAGCTGTGGTTTTGTTGGAAATGGATGTTATCTTGTCATTTAATTTTCAATGTGTTTGAAGGCTTGTAGAAGTTTCAAATTGAAATATAAACAGAGTTTTTAAAGAATTAAAATTCAAAATCTTAAAAAAAAAATTATATTTAACTCCATCAACGTGTCTCTGTTTTAGAGATTATAATATTGATTATATTATTATTATATTCATAAAGCCCAAACTTCATGTCGATGTGAGTGCTTAAGATCAGCTTATTTCATACATTTAATAAAATATTATTTATCTTTAATAAACATTTAATTTCAAAGTTTCTTATTAGTGAGAATACAATAAAAAAAATATTTCTCTCTCATAGTAATCATTTTTAGGAGTTTTCTAAATTTGGAGAATTTCACTCTTTATGTTGTTTTCTCCATTTTGGATAATCTGCTGGAGCAAAATTTTGTTCAAAATTCGAAAAACTTTTTTAAAAAAATCTGTTGAAGATGCTCAGCAACATTTTCGGTTTTCCCGGTCAAGATTGTTATTCTTTCTGCCTCTCACGTTCTTGTTCCCTGTCCTCCATTTCGAAATTAACCACCAACAGAAGCAGCTTCTTCTTATCCTTTAAGGCGAGTTTTGAGTGTCAGCAATGACGGCGGGAGATAGGGAAGATGATGAAGTAACCACACAGAGGAGAGGGGACTGGAGGTTTTCTGATGAGTTTTGGGCGTTGGTGGTGATGGCAGGAGGTGGGGAAGATGATAAAGCAACCATGGTAGAGAAGGATTATAGTTACAAATTTGGTGCATGCACATTATCATCCCACCACAGAACCACCATTATAGTTACAAATATGGTGCATTGTGCAGATTGTCATCCCACCACAAAACCACCATCAGAGTTTTAGATTTGGTGGAGGAGGATTATAGTTACAGATTTGATGCACACTGTGCATATGAAAGTTTACGACGAACTTGATCGTTTTATAGACGTGTATTTCATCATGGTGTTCACAATATTTATATACCATAAAGTTGTTCAAAAAGTGGTTCACAATGTGCTCACAATATTTATATATCATATGGTTGTACAAAAATTGGGGTGGTGATCAAACGTGTTAGGGATGAAAAAGAGAAGAGAGGAAAATTACAAATACCCATATACCCTTTATCTATTTATTTTAATTCAAAATTTAAAAAATTAATAATTTTCTAATTTATTATGATTTTATGGCTTATATTGGATCTCACAGTTACAAAGATCTCAAAGAAAGCGTGCGCACACACACACACATGGAGAGGGGGGGGGGGGAGAGAGATGATCATTTACAAACCGTCATCTTAGCACAAACTTTGCAAATTTTAATCTCAACCGTCCATCTAGTCCAATGAATATTTGGTTCAATGAATATTTCAGTTGTTCTGTAATATAAAGTGTTGATCATAATAAATAAACTCTGATAATCTTCCATAAATGAACCCTCATCAATTCCATAAATATTTCAATTAATTGGTTTGTATAGTTTATACTAATGGTTGAGTTTGTAAACGAGACCACCTCTCTTTTTCTCCCACCCCCCTATATTACAAAATTGGTTATTTTTATATGTCTTGTTTTGTCCAATCATGTCTTACAAACACTGAAAAACTATCATGTCCTATTATGTTATGTTATGTTCTGTTCTATCTTGTTCAGTCATGCCTTCTATGAGCACCAAACACACTATAACTGATCATGATAAACGTTTTTAACATATTTTAAAACATTATTATAAACAAATCCAGTAAAATACCAACTAACCTTGTTAGATTATTAAACATGTTTATAGGATTTTATTAAAATTAAGGGGTCATCATTGTTAATAACTTGTACGGATGGTCCATGTGCTAGGATGTGGACTTACAATTGTTTTTAAGCATCTTTTTCCACTTTCTCTATGCTTTTTTATTCTTCATTTAATCGTTATACGCGTAGCTAAATAGACAATTACATGTGAACGGTATGACTTTTATGATACATGTGAAACCAGGTTCCAACATACGTAGAAAAGAAACAGACTGTGTTTTAGTCGATATAAAACTTCAGCACGTCCATTTTAATGAAGGATAGATAGAGGCGGTGCTCCGGAATCTGGAGTCCTTAAGGGTGCGTTTGGTGTCGAGATAAGATAGGATAGAATATGACAAGATATAACAGTTGTTCAACGTTTGGTAAGATAGAACTGTACAAAACATAACAAGTAAAATGACTAATTTACTCATAATGAGTTGTTTATATATTTTGATTAATTTATGTAGTTTATTAATTTTTTGTAACAAAGTATATTATTAGAACGTTTTCACAAAACAACTAAATGACCCCAAAAAAGTTTATGCATTTTTCAATATTTATTTTATCCCTTTCTATATTATTTTTATTATTAATATATAATAAATTACATAAAATAATAAAAATATAGAAATATAGAAATCGTATAAATATAATATTTTGAAGACAGTAAAATGAAAGTTTAAAAAACATAAAATAAAATAAATAAAATTTAAAGAATGAATGAAATGTAAAAAATTGAATTATTTGATGTTTTACAAGATAATTAAATTTTATTTTGAAGTTATATTAGTAAAACATAAGTCAGTTCCACCTTGTTTGATGAGGTAGGGGTGGAACAGACATGTGTCACTCTAATCATGTCTATTCCACATAAAAGTTCTGTTAAACGTGAAACAATAATCCATGTTATGTTCTGTAATGTCTAGTGTACCAAACGCACCGTAAAAGTGGAAGACTACATCTGAGGTATGTGAAATATTATTAGATTGTTCTTCAAAAGAGTCATTTGGAGAGAGAAGAAATATTTCAATATATATAGATTAAAAAATAAACCGTAGATATAGTTGATGTGAGATTTCAAAAAATATTAATAAAAAAAAATATTAAGGGGTTGTTTAACAAATATTTATCCGATGAACACTTACCGGTAAAATTTAACACTATCACTTACTTAATGGTTAAGATTTTAGTCTACTAAAACGACATCATATATAACAAAGCGCTAACCGTAGTAAGAGTCGTCAATCTCACTTACCGGGTAAGAGGTTCTTCTCTCGCTATTATCAGGTAAATTTTTTTGTCTTTATCATATTCATCCGGTAAAATAATATGACTTGATAAATACTTACCCAGATAAACATTTGATAATTAAAAAACCCAATTAATTTGGTGATAAAAAAAATTATAAGTTGATAATTTGTATTTATGTGTCATTTTGATGCTTT